CGGCGGCCCCTTTCCGTTCCGGCCCGGCCCCGGGCCGGGTGCAGGGCTCTGACCAGGGCCGCGTCTAGTAGTAGAGCTCTGAGAGTTTATCAAAAAGTTGAAGAACTGGGCCCTGGATTACTCATTATGCCTGAGAGAGATAGAAAATCATAAACCATAGCCTGATTGCTTTATTTGCGTTTTTTGTTCTTGTTTCACGATTAAAAAAAAAAAAAAGGAGGAAGGTAAATGTGATGTTGTAGCACATAAAATGAAAAAGACCTTTAAATTCTCTGTTATTTTTTCCTATAATTTGGTGGAGAAGCCTTCCCACTTCCATGTTTTCTGCTATATGTTTGTGTTACTACACAAAGCAGTATTAGACCTTTCATGTACACCTACTTTGTAGTAAAATGAGTCTGAATTTCAAAAGGAGACTCAGATTGTGTCAGTCAGATTCTTTAACGTTTACTGTAACCGCATTGTTTCAAGTATAGTGCCACATCATGTAATTTTTCCTCATAAAGTATTTATATGTATTTTATATGTAGTTTTAAAGAGGCAAAGTTCACGTCTCAGCTCTTCTCCTCAGTTTCTAAGCTCTTCCTAATGAGCTACTTTTCTTTGATCTGGCAGCTGTTTGCCATTGCTTAGTTGCGTTGATACCAATAGTTAAGTGTTTCATGTGCAATTCCAGCTGGATATGTGAGAGGCACGCTTTCTCCTTTCTGCTAGAAGATGATGGTTTGTTTTTCTAATTTTGAAATCATGCCAGTCTTTTTTTATGGCTGTATTTCATTCGAAGTTTGTCTCTTTTTGCTGCCATCCTGTTACTACTTACCAGCTTGCTTTCTTTGACTAAATGTAGTATATTACATCTTTTAACATGCTGTGTTAGAACAGAACGACTTTATTCTCTCATCTGGAATACCAAATTGTTTGAGGGTTTTAATTGGTGGCTGTTTCACAAGCATAACCACATAGATCCAGGTCTTTAAAGGATATCAGTGGCCTTAGGTTCATCATCTAGGCATCACTGACATTATCAAAACTACTAGTGAAGCTCTTAACTTTGGTGGTGCCGGTCTCCTAAACATCTGTGTTTTCTGCCTCTTGCATGCAGAAAGTTCTGTATATATTGGCAAGGTTCCACAGCTAATGGTCTCACCAGAGCCTTTAAAAGACAGTTGAAGGCCCTGAAACTGGTGAAGACTGCCCGAAAAATAGAGCAGGGAAGACAGGCAGCAACAAGAGAGATGAGCAGTTCCTTTACAGTGCGGGCATTCAAATAGTTCATAATTTTTTCCAATTAAATCGTGTATTGCCTACTATGGGAACAGGAACCTTAACCCGAGTTTTTCCTATTCTAGAGGCATGTGTTAACTAGTGTGATATTTGCAAATGGTGATTGTGCAACCTCCCTTGTGGAACAACTCCAATTTTGTTATTTTTAGGTAACAAATCTGAATTTTAACTGTCCACATTCTAGAAAATGCCTTACCCCTGCACAACAGAGTAATTTCTCACTCTGTTGCCCAGTTAATGTTTAAATAACTGTACAAAGTAAAACAGCTCCACTATGAAAAATGAGTGATTTGAATACTTAAATACTCTGATATTGATGTTGAGGGAAACTTCCCAAGAACATTTATGATCCTGTAGTTTGGGTTCCAGACCTTTGCTGCACATCAGGCAGAGCAAGCAATTGGAGTAAACGTATCTCAGATAGGTGCTGAGTACTTTTAAAAATCAAGCTCATGGAGCCTTGTTTAATTTTACTGCATCATCCATCCTTATTCACAGAGCTTAGGTGCTAATGTGACAAATGCAGGAGATGAGATTTATTGTTATTGCTCTGTATGTATGTTGGTGATGTTTGCTGGAAGTGATGGGTTCCAAGGTTTAAGATGATTTCTTAACCAACAGAAGCTATTCCATAAGTTTCTACCTTGCTGTTGTTGTAGAATCACTGTGGTCAGCATTTCATGCCTTTGCTCAAAATCAAAACACTGAATTAGGAGGCTCCTACTAGTTTGATCTATGTCATGCTAGGATTTCTTTCTTAGAAAAGCAAACGTTCTTCTTGGAACAGCATGTTGCTGATGCTTCAACGTGTTGTTGAGAGGAAACTGGGCAAGTTAATAGAAGATAAAGCTATGGAGACTTTTTAAAAGACATTGAAACCATCTCTGGCTCATGTATGTCCTCAGCCAGAAATTAGTAGAGGCTAGGAAAGTGTTAAAGGGAAATATTATTATATATTTACTCTATTCATATACTTCTGCTATTGGCTGCTTTGGGACCCAGAATTCTGGGCCTTGTTGACTCTTTGTCTGAGACAGTATGGATGTTCTTAATCTTTCAGTCAATGAGTATTGTTCATTGGCCTAATTTTTCTGTCTCCTAGGTAGTTAGTGATTGTCTCTGAACTGAGCTGAAGATGTTATACTGCTCATCTATTCTTTTCCTCCCCTAGGCTTATGGCATTGTGTGGAAAGCAATTGATCGCAGGACAGGAGAAACAGTTGCTGTTAAAAAGATTTTTGATGCTTTCAGGAACAGAACAGATGCTCAGGTGAGAAATCATTGTATTGACACGTCCTGAAGGACGTGGTGGGAGTTCATAGGTATTTTTAGGACTTGTATGTCCTGAAAAATGTTAGCTATTGACAGTTGTGTGTAATAATATAGTCTACAATAATATTAGGATAAAAATAAGACAAAATGTCAGGCTCTGTATCATAGCATCTATAAGCTACTGACTGACGTCACTGAGGGGAAAGTGTCTTTATAGGCAGTGCAATTTAATTCTCCCTTATGTTGTTATTCAACGGCATCTAAGCACTGAGAGCATGCTTATGACTCTCTAGCCTGTCTGCCACATAACATTTTCTTCTACCTTATTGATTAGAATGGATGTATCCCTCCCCATTGGAAGTCCGTATTATTTTCTGTCCTTCTATTGTTGTGATAATAAATGTTTCTCTTTATTTCTAGAGAACTTTTCGAGAGATTATGTTCCTGCAGGTAAGGTCCGTTTTTCTCCCTCCTCTCTGATTTTTAATTACCCCTGGTGTCACTCACATATTTCCTTCTTGTTCTTTTTCAAAATGCAGTAGTCAGTGTTGCCATCTCTTTTCATTTCCTTTCTTCACTGTCTGTCATGGCAAACAGTCTTTCCTTGACTGCACAAAAGCTCCTGAATTAAACAGAGAGTTGGACTTACATTTTCTTTCAGACATGCCTTGTTCTTTCGCCATTTTTAGTAATGTGCCTACTCTATAACCAGCATATGGATGTGCATTCTCTTTCACTTCTTCCTTCTTTATGGATGGAAAGATTTTTTCCTTGAAGTTTGAATGCTGTGATTCAGAGGTGGGGACAGGGGATGGAAGAGATTTACATGCTAAAATTTTCTTCCTCTCTCATGTAGGAAGAAACTTGACCACTTTAAGTAATTAAAGAATAACTAAAGGGGGAAATTCTATATGGAATTACTTAAGATTTCTCTTATTTTAATATTATTAACCACAGACTAGGCCTAATTACGGTATCAGTGGCAGCAGCATTAAAATCATCCATCCATTCCTCTATAGAGCTATCATGTAGAAACATTAATGTTTTGGAATAGTGGTAATGCTGTTCTAACCATGATCATCTAAGGACACAAGCAAGACGATGCTCATAGGAAGAGGTATTTCCTAAGACCATTAGTTTAGGTGAGAAAGATGTGAGGTTTTGGTCTCTCAAATCATTCTTCAAGCCTGAAATAGAAGCAACAGACTTAAGAGCTAATAACTTATGAGAACAGTTGCTTAGAGGCGAGTTAATTTAAGTTATAAGTTAGATAATCTCTGAAAGTGTAGAACTTTTGGAGTAGGTGGGTGGAGGTGGATTTGGGGGAAGAAAGAGACGTTCCTCCTAAAGGAAAGAACAAGACATGGGGGAGGGGGAAGGTTGTAATGTGCCATTAAGACATTACTTTCATGGCTTTGGGTGCTCAATAGACTTAAGAATTTTGGTTTCCACCTCTTCTTTTCGAATGTGTTTTGTAGCTCTTCCTCAAGGATCAGGACTGAGAGATAAGAAATGGAAAGATTATATAAGAAATATTCTTTCTTACATAACCGGATATTTTGTCTTACATTGCATGTCCGTGAGAGTTCCTTCCTGTGTGTAGTGATTGCTTAGTTTCATCTGTATATTTACCATAAGGATATTAAATGCACTGGATGAAGTTCGTTATACTTGAGAAGCGTGTATGTAGAATCCAGGCGTTTTGATGGTTTTCTTCTGGGTGATATATAGTATGTTTGTCATATTGCTGCTGGCAAGTTTATTGCTCAGCGTAAATCTAGATCTGTTTGGTGCCTTCTGGGCCACAGTTTAGGATGTGATTTTGGTAACGAGTTTAATGAGAGTATGGATCTTTAAGCAAAGATAAATAGGAGTGGCTCTGGCAAGATTTTTTTCAAGGTAGGATGTTTTTATAGTTTTGATTGAAACTTTTTCATAACTTTCCGTTATCAATTCCAGGGCAAGACAGTGTGAGACAGTGGAGGTTTTCCTTCAGTATTAAGTTCTTCAAGTTTATCTTTTGGATGAAAATTTCTTTAGATTATTAAAATAGTTATCGTGAACATTGTCCTCAGAATAAGCACAAGGATATTTGATGGCCTGGCTCTGCATTATAGCTTTGTAGTGTATTTTCACTGCTGCAGATGGGTGTGTTAGTTTGTGCATTTTTCTAGATGTACATTATAACCAATTTTTGTGTTGACTTCAGAGTCTAAGGGGATGATGCTATTCTAAGATTGTTCTGGAGATAGTACTAAAAATCATATTAAACTGTAACTGAATTTGTGATGGAAATAGATAAGGAGTCTGGGTTACTAGCACAAATAATGTTGATTTAATTTATATATTTTAGGAACAGCATAGGTTTCATGGTGCAGCTATTCATAATTTTCTACTCGGGATGGTTCATGAAAATGGCGTACTGTGAAGTGTTCACAGTGTCTCTAGCTTACAGTGTTAGCTATAGGAAATAAAAGTCATTATGACTGAATATGAAGTAAATGTTCTTGGCAGCATTATCAGTCTGCAAATGTGAGGGTGGGATTCACCTAATGTGAGGGTGGGATTCACCTTCGGATTAGAATATCTGTATTTAGGTATCTCTGTGTATGTTGGCTGTCTGATGTTAGATCTCCCATTAAAGTCAGTTCAATGCAACCTATAGAGTGTTTCAGCTTACCCTCAAATAGGCATTTTCTGGTTGGCCAGCTGAATTGTGTTGGTGAGTTTTTTAATTATGAATGTTGATGGCACCTTTATTGTCATATTTTCACTGCCACAATAACTATTTGTCCTCATTACGAAGTATAGGTGCATAATGTTGATTGGATTCTATTTGTACATGGTATAGAGGGATTTTTAGTACTAAAGTCTCAGACAATAGAGATTTGTTTAGATTAACTGGGCAGTTTCATACTATAGAGCAAGTTTAAAAAAAACCTATTTTGTATTTCTGTAGAAGCATAATGAAGGAAATAACGTTTTAATGTTTGCTTTAGAGCACAATACAAAATAAAATAAGCTATTGTTCTTTATTTGGTTCGCAAGCAAGGCTCTTGATTTCAACATCTGGGTCTCTCCTCCGCAGGAGTTTGGAGAACATCCAAATATCATCAAGCTGCTTGATGTTATCCGAGCTCAGAATGACAAGGATATCTACCTCATCTTTGAGTCCATGGGTGAGACTCAGCATTGTATCAGCCATTTAAATTCATCCTCTCTTACGGGTTATCTTTGTTCCCTACCTTGACAGTAGTGTGTTGACGACTAACTTGAATAACGATGGAGGTAGACAGATAGGTAGGAGCAGTACAGGTCTTTATATTTATGCCAGTTGTGATTAGATAGGAATAGCAGTGTGAAACTTAAGGGGAAATAAAATAATTATGAGAACTGGTTTGTCCGAGGAGGTGGAAGGAGGGCAGGGAGAAACAAATTAGAAGGCTCGTAGAAACATAAGAATTGCATGGGATGACTATATGCACTTTTATTATAACCAAATTATGCAATAATAGAACTCATACTACAGTAATTGTTCTATAGGTCAAAGTATACATGGGTATATATAATGCAGAATGTGAATAAGACAGTGGGTGTTATTCCAGTTTTGCAGTTAGTGCATTCTTGATCAGAGTTAAGGAGCATAAATGTTTTTCTCTGCCCATGTGAAACAGCTAACCTAGGACTCAAGGGTTGAAAGGTATGTTTATAATTCAGAAGTGGAACTGATAATACAGAGAGATCGTAGTACTATCAGTAACTGAAGTATTAACTTCTGTTTAGGATGCACTTGAAAGATTACAGTTTTGGGAATAGTCTTTGTGGCCTTTCTTTGAGGGACTTAATATTCACAACTTGTAATCCTTTACTGATCTGTATTACAGAGACAGATTTACACGCAGTGATTAAGAAGGGGAATTTGTTGAAAGATATCCACAAATGTTACATTCTCTACCAACTCTTGAAGGCCACTAAATTCATCCACTCAGGAAATGTTATTCACAGGGATCAGAAGGTACAGTTCAGTCACTAATCTTCCTTGAAACGGATGGTCACTCCTTCACTCAAGTTTTCTGTTAAACAGTAATGAGACAGTGTGGAAGGAATGAGGCTGGTATAAGAACCTTAATAGTAACCTTCTGCTATTCAGAGAGTAAAGAGCTTATTAATTTTTCTTTGTTCAATACAGCCTTCAAATATCCTGCTGGATGCAGACTGCTTCGTTAAACTTTGTGATTTTGGGCTGGCCCGTTCTCTGTGCCAGATGAACGAGGACCAAGGCAACCCAGCACTGACAGAATATGTGGCAACACGCTGGTACCGAGCCCCTGAGATCTTACTTTCCTCTCAGAGGTAACTGTAAGACTGGGCTACAGTCTGCTTGATATGAGAGAAAGGATGGGATTGTATAGTTTCTTCACTATTTGGAAAAATTACTGACTGAGAAGTCTTATAGCATTTTAGTTTAGATGTCAACGGATGCAATGTCATGTCACTAGGCTATCTTCTCAACGTGCATCTAAAATTCTGTTCTGCAACAGAAGAGTCTCTCATTACACTTATATTCCTTCCTGTCTTCTTAGATTGTCCATTTACGTCCATCCAGCTTATATGTTTGTCATCCATTCTCCCACCAAACTTATTCTTTCTCCCATTAAATCTGCATCTTTAAAACATTTTCTTGAGTATCTCAGTCCTCTTTTCCAAATTTTGCTTTAAGGACCTCTGGAGGCAGGTTTTCTCTTCATTCTCCTACTCCTTTTCAAGCACTTCTTCCCTTTTCTCTAGGGACAGAGCTGAAAGTTTGGACCTGTCATACTTTTGCCCGAAGAGGATCCTCAGTAGTAGCTGATATTTCTCTTTTGTATTATTTTTTGTGTGTTTCTGGTTTGTGTGGGGTTTTTTTTTGTCTTATATGTTTGTTTGCTTGCTTGCTTAAGGAACTCTTATCTTCTGCTCTTCTTTCTAAGCCAAGGGGAAGAAACCTAGAGTGAAAGGAAGCTTGGCTCAGCCATAGCAGCTAACATAGCAAGAAAGACACTGCAGATAATTTTTGTCCATTTCAAATGTGGGGGATACAAAACTAGCTGAGGGAAACTGGAATTACTAATTTTTCACTTTCATTCTAAATGTTTAAATTGGAATAATACAGCTCTCTCTCTGCTTGCTGCAGTGGTAACAGAAAGTGGAATAATTGTTAAGTGATTTGATGTTCCTGTTCTGTTACATGATGCATGTGCACTCAGCACAAACTCATTGAAGCATATTGTTCTCTCGCTGTAATATTAGATCCAATATTAGAACTTAGAAGAGAGGTTCATATCCCGTAGCTAGAGGTGTTATTTAGCCTTCCAGAACTTTTCATGGATGTCTCGATTTTGAGTGCACAGTCGGCCTCCGTCCAAATGTCTTCTTGAGTCTGGCTGATGTAAGCCGGCTGCTCTTCAGCAGCTCTCTATTTGAAAGAGCTCTTATCTGGTCATATTTCGGGACATTTGAAGCTTCTTACTTTAGGAAAGTGGTGAGCTACTTACCTTACAGGTAGGTAAGAATCTGTACATGGGCAGTTACTGGAGAGCAATTAATATGTGGTACCTTGTTGCTGCCATGTGGTGTGTTAGCTTGTAGCTTGCATGCCTGGTCCACCTAAGGCAATATCAGATCTTGTGTTTCCAGATGAGGGTAGGTAGGTCAGTATGTAGTAGAAAAACAGAATAGATGGGAGTGGGAGCACAGAACAGGGAATCTGAAGTATGCAGGAGAGCATGGAGAAAATAGTCATCAGTTTTGAGTCCTTATTTGGAGAGATTGGGTGTACGAGGCCAGAAAGGAGTACGCTGAGAGACGGGGTTAGAGGAAGAAAGGTAGACCATGTGGAGATGCAATCTTGGGTCCGTAAACAGCTTGAAGCAAGTACTGTTGGGACATAAATCTAGCTAGTGGGAAAAAGGATAGGATCACTGCCTTAGGCAAATCAGCTTTCACCTTTCATTTTCTTAGTGATTTCTGTTCCAGAAATTTCCTCCTTTTCTTGCAAATCTATGTTTTGGACTGTATTTATGTATTATCTCCATCCAGGTCACAAATTTCACTTCACTGAAAAATCTTTCTTCTTCTGAATTTCCTCTGCCTCACTTTTATGTCCTGGCTAATGTAGAATAATTATTGATTCTTCCTGTTTAACTATGTCTTTTGAAATGACTTCATCAGTTATACAGGAGTCTGCATTTCATTAGTTTTTAAAGGAGATTGGGGAGGGATGATGATGTTGCTAGGTGTTACCCTCCAGTGTTCCCTTACCAACGGCAGGCAAGATGCACCAGGTCTCTCCTGACTGGGGAAGCAAGTCAGACACGTGTATGGTGGAAACAGCAGGGTTTTTGTCCTGCTCCAAACTATGGTGATCGGATGCAGGGCTGCTTGACAGGGACCCCCAAACAAACCAGATCACATTATTTGCTACCCCTTATATCATCATCATCTTCTCTTTTTTTCCCCTTCCCTGTTTTTTCCCCTTTACCACTCCCATCCCCTCCCAAATAAGCAACTCATCCATAATTAGTTCTTCCCCACTGACCCCCAAAAAAGATACCCCAAATCCTCCTCAGTTATCTGCAATGTTCCACTGTTACTTGTATAACTTTCCCTTAACCACCTCTGAAATCCAGCCAGTCTTCACAATGCTATATGTAACTTTGGTTAGCTTCTTATACTGCTACTTTTACTTTC